AAAATTAGAGTGTATTTTACAGCACATTGTGTGTGTGTGTGTGTGTGTGTGTGCGTGTGTGTGTGTGTGTTTGGGATGGGTGCATCTTTCCTGTTTGACAGTCCTGTAACAGTGATATTCTCAGCAGCTAAAGAGGACCATAGGGGTCATCTCCAACCTGTGAGTTGTCTGAGGTCTGAATACTTGGGTAACCTAGGGTCGAATTAGCATTTATGAATCAGCCTGTGAAGAGAAAAGTATTGACGAGAGAGACTTGGGATTGAATCCTTTCACTTCTAATTAGCAGCTGTTTTATGAAACTCTGTGAAAGTCCATGACACAGTGCCCAGGACAGGGAACAAGAATGAAATCTTGTGCTCACAGTTCATTAGATTTCTCCCACACCTTTCCTGTCAGTTTGCAATAAAAGATGCCGCCCAGTAAATAAAGAAAAAAATTGAGGGGGGCTGGCAGGTGGTGTGGTGGTTAAAATGCTGGACTCCCATATGGCTGACCATGGTTCAAGTCCTGGACTGGGTGGCTTTCTCACTTTCCTTTTCTCTCTCTCTCTCTGTCTCTCTGATCAAATTTAAAAAATAATAATAATAACTAAAATAAATAAATAATTATAAAAGAAAAAAAAAAGAAATACATCAAGGCACAGAAGATCTAAGAATTTTGAATCAGATCATATAGATAATCAGATCATATAGAGAGACGGATGGGGCTCATCCTGAACCATTCTTCACACTGTGATCTATGCCTAGTCCCGGATGGCCCAGTTAACACACCCAGAGTGCTCAGGGAGGCCCTCAGACCCAAATCCAGGACCTTTACCATGCCAGTCCAGTTGCACTACCACTATGCTACCCCCTGAACCCTGCTCAATATTCCATGACCATTTTCATTTACAAAGAACTTTATATTTGTGAACTGATTGGTTAATTCTTCACAATACATTCCATAGTCCAGTAGTTATGTCTCTAAATAATAAAGGTATATTGCTTTTGACTAATTTTGATTGTATTACATCTCGTCTCTGGAAGCAGAGACTGAGGCAGAGAATGGGCTTCCAAAGCCTACCAAACAGGATTCGTCAGACCGGGAGCCCCTGATTTAGTCCTGAACCTACCAGATTGAGAAGAAGGGTATGGTGCTCATACAACCAAGACACTGGGAATGGCTAAGGATCTAGTGCAGGTCTGGAGTCAATTTCCAGGACTATAGAGAAGTAGAGAAAATGAGATGAGAACTAACAATGGGACATTTGGGCTGTCAAATGTCTAAAATGGGGACCAGCAGTTAGCTTAATGGCTATGTTGCGGGACTCCCACGTAGTCGACTGCGGTTCGAGTCCTGGACCCAGTGGCTTAAACTCAAGCCAGGCGTGTGTGTGTGTGTGTGTGCCCAAGATCCCGAGAGGAGAATGGAAGAGAAGGAATTGTGGCATGGCCATACCCCCTGGGGAGGTGATTTCTCGTTTCTTGTCTCTCTGCCTCTCTCTGTCTGTCTGGCAAGCGCACGCGTCCTATAGCAAAACAAAACAAAACAAAACAAAACCTCTCCAAAAAAAGAAGGAAAAAAAAATCTAAAATGAATCAGTTCATGGGTCCCTAAATGTGTTGAATTCAGAGTATTTGTGATGATCCACTCTGGAAGCAGCCTAAATTGATGTTAAATAAGGAGCTCAGGGCCAGACAGTAGCATAAGAACAATGCAATGCTCTGTGATGCTGTACCCACATGGGAAGGTCCCTGGTTCATGTCCCAGAGCCTCCCTGTACACACACACAGCAAATATGCATGCACACATGTCTGTGATCTGGGCTGGGTCAGGCTGGAGGCTGATTGTGTCATGAGGACCTTGGTAGGGGTGTGTTTTTCTCTCTCTCTCATGGGAGAAATAAATAGATAAGTAAACAAAAAAATGTAAGCTTAACTGTGGCTTCTTCCAAAAGCAATGTCCACCTGTTCCATGAATATTCAACTTGAGTTAGCCTATTGTTTTTCTGTGTTCAGTATTTCTACAAAATGGCTTTTGCACCACCTACTGGCAAAGAATGGTGATCCCACTTCTCATTGCAGGAAAGACCTATTTAAAATGCTGGTGAAGACAGCAAGATCAAAACTAACTTTGTTTACTGAGACTATGTAGCTACCGCTGCTAAAAAGCATCCAATTCCTTGTCAGCACCTTGTTAACAAGTTTTAATGAATAGGTGTCCTCTTTCTGAAAGCATCATAGCAATATGAGAAGAGTATTCTAAATTATATTAGTGGGAAAGGAAATATTATTTTCTTTTTTTAAAATTAATTTTTTTCTTTTTTTTTACATTAATTCACTATATATCATTACAGTATACAAAATGAATTTTCCACCCAAAATACACTGTCCATTGGCTCAATCAAGCACATCAACATACATGTTCTCAGCAAATAATTTTCCATTTCTTATGTCTTTTGCCTTTTTTTTTTTTTCTTTTTTGCCATCCTTGATTCCCTATCCCTAACCCTCTGCCCTGGCCAACCCTCCTACCACATTGTCTCTGGTATCCATGGTTGCTTTCTATGCCTTACCCCCCACCCCCCAGCCTGATTTAATTGATTTGCTAATGAACTTAATTTGTCTAAATATTTGCAATAGCAAGCTCAGCTGATACATGCATACACATGAACCCATGTCTGACTTTAGGCATAAACTTCAGTGAGTAGAATGAACATACTATGAAATAGTACCTAGCTGGGG